TCGTCCTGAACAGTTACGTCGACTGGCTGGCGATCAACGCCACCATCATCCGGTGGCTCATTCTCACCGTGTCCAAATCTTCCACACCGTCGTTCGCGACAAGGATGATGCATGCACGGTATGGAACAAGATCGTCGACCTCTTCACCGACAACAAGCTCCAACAGATCGTCTTTCTGCAGCAGGAGTTCTTCGGGTGTCATCAAAACGACTCCTCCGTCGACGACTTCTGCATGCGCCTCAAGACCCTCTCCGACGAGCTCAATGACATCGGCTTCAAGGTGGGCGACGAGTTGCTCCTCTCCACTCTCACCGCCGGCCTCAATGAGGATCTTGGCAACGCCGCCTCCAACCTCACCCTCATGGCGAACCCTACCTACGAGCGGGCGATGGCTTATCTTCGTCTTGAGGAACGCCGGTTGAAGCATCTTCACTCCCGTGCCGTTCACACCGCCTTCGCCGCTGGCTACTCGCGTGGTGGCCCTGCCTCCTCGGGTGCGCCCCCCTGGCTTTCCAGCGCCGTTCCAGGCGCCCCGGCCACCGGCTCCTCCCGCGCCACACGGCGCCTACGATGCCCCCTACCAGCAGCGGCCATCGGCTCCTCCTGCGGCTCTTCCTCAACAACTGCCGCAGCAGCAACCACAGCAGCAGCAGCGCCAGAGGCGCCGCGGCCGCGGCAAAGGTCAAACCCAGCAGCAACAACCACGCGACGTGCATGCGCCTGTCCAGCAGCAGCCGATGCTGCCTTGGGGGGGGTGGCCACAACCCCTGGACAGGGTTTGTGCACGCCTACACCATGCCCGTGCCCCCCCCTCCCGCTCCAAGCCTCCTCGGGCCTGGTCCCTCCGGTCATCAGGCCTTCTTCATCGGTCAGCAACCCGGTCCGGTCGCTCCACCGACCTACTACTCTCCTGCTTCGGTTGGCTATGGCGGGCCAACCGCTAGCACTGGCGTGACCAGCTACTCGGGCTACCCCGCGCCGGTCTCCTATGATCCGGCCCTGCTTGCTGCACTTCATCAACAGCCTCCGACCGGGGCTTATTCCGACGGTGGCGATTGGTTTATGGACACCGGTGCATCTTCGCACATGGCCGCTTACCCGGGTAACCTCTCTTCTGCGTCTCCTATTCACACTTCCTCTCATATCATTGTCGGTAATGGTGCTTGTCTTCCTATCACTCATATTGGTTCCACCAGTTTTCCCTCAAACTCTAGACCACTTTATCTCAATAATGTTCTTGTGTCTCCTGAACTTATCAGAATTTAGTCTGTGTTCGTAATCTTTCTCGTGATAACTCTGTAACTGTGGAATTTGACGAAGTTGGTTTTTCTGTTAAGGACGCCCTCACCCGGATGGTTCTTCACCGCTGTGACAGTCCCGACGATACATACTCCGTCCAGCTGCCATCATCCTCACATGCCGGACCAGTTGCTCTTTCCGCCGGCGTTGATCTTTGGCACGCCCGTCTTGGTCATCCTAGCTCCACCGCTCTTCGTCAAATTATTAGGGATTTTTATTTTACATGTAATAAAACGGATGCGCACTCTTGTCACGCATGTTGTCTGGGCAAACATGTTCGCCTTCCCTTTAGTGCTTCATCCACAGTTGTGTCGTTACCTTTTGAGTTAATCCATAGTAATGTATGGACCTCTCCTGTTGCTAGTAACATTGGTTTTTCATATTATCTTATTATTTTGGATGACTATTCTCACTTTGTGCGGACCTTATCATTACGTAAGAAGTCCGAAGTTGCTGCCACCCTTACGGCTTTCTACTCTTACGTGTCTACGCAATTTGGTCGTCCCATCCTAGCTTTGCAAACTGTCAACGGGAAAGAATTCGACAACACCACCATCCACAATCTTCTCTCCACACATGGCACTATTTTTCGTCTTACATGTCCATACACTTCACAGCAGAATGGTCGGGTTGAACGCATTCTCCGCACTCTTAACGATTGCGTCCGTACCCTCCTATTTCACGCATACATGCCTCCTCGCTTCTGGCCCGACGCGCTCTCGCTACTGCCACCCTCCTCATCAACCTTTGTCCATGTCACACCCGGTGGAACTTTACACCTCACCACCTCCTCTTTGGGTCTCCTCCCTCATATGACGGCCTTCGTATCTTCGGTTGTCTTTGTTATCCTAGTATTGCCGCCACCTCTCCTGATAAATTTGCTCCTCGTTCCCTTCCGTGTGTCTTCCTCGGTTACCCAGCTAACACCAAGGGCTATAGATGCTATGATCCGGTTTCCCACCGTGTCATCACATCTCAACATGTTTATTTCGACGAGTTGTGTTTTCCCTTTAAACAGGAACAACATGAGGCTTCTTCATCGATGCCTGACCCCTCTCTGGTCGACCCTGTCCGCCCTGGCTTCGACCCACGGCATAGGGTGCCCCCTGGACGCGCGGCGCTTTGGCTCCTGCCCGCTGCTTCGCCGGGCTCACCGGCCTTCGAGCCGGCCTCCCCGGGTGCTTCACCGTCGGGCCCTGTGCCGGCCTCCGAGCCGGCCTTCCTGGCCCCTTCTTCGTCGGGTTCAGCCCCGGTCTCGTCGGTCCATGCACCGGCTTCGCCGGCCTCGCTGGCTACCACGCCAGCTCGCTCACTGGGATTGCCCGCCTCTGCCACGGCTTCTTTGCCAGGTGTGTCACCAGCCTCTTCACAGTCGGGCGTGTCGCTGGCTTCTTCACCGGGCCTATCGCTGGCTTCTTCACAGCCGGGCTCGGCGCCGACACCAGTGGTTGCTGTGGTGCCACCACCCGCTGGCCCTATTACTCGGTCGCGCCTGGGTGTCCATCGGCCGAGCAATTGCTACCCTCCGAACGAGTACACCTGCGTGGCTTCGATGTCTTCTTCGTCACCGTCACCCCTGCCGACCTCCGCCCGTTTCGCGCTTCGCGACCCCATGTGGTTTGCCGCGATGAAGGAGGAATTTGACGCATTGCAACGCAATCACACTTGGCAGCTTGTCCCGCGTCCTCCTCAGGCCAACATCATTACCGGGAAGTGGGTGTTCAAGCACAAGTTTCATCCGGATGGTACTCTTGACCGACACAAGACTCGTTGGGTCGTTCGGGGTTTTCGTCAACGAGCAGGTGTTGACTTCACCGACACCTTCGCCCCGGTTGTCAAACCCGGGATGATTCAGACTGTTCTTCAGCTAGCGGTCTCCCGCTCCTGGCATGTGCACCAGATGGATGTTTCTAATGCTTTCCTTCATGGTCATCTTGAGGAACAGGTGTTCTGTCAACAGCCCACGGGGTTTGTTGATGAGTCTTCTCCGGATCATGTGTGCTTGCTCTCTTGGTCTTTGCACGGGCTCAAGCAGGCTCCTCGCGCTTGGTACCAGCGCATCGCAGCGTTTCTTACTCAGCTTGGCTTCCGCTCCACTCGCTCCGATGCGTCACTGTTTGTCTACCACCAGGGTGATGCTACTGTTTTCCTGCTGCTCTATGTCGACGACATCATCTTGACAGCATGCTCGACTGCCCTTCTTCGACAGCTCACTGATCGTCTTCATGCTGAGTTTGCCATTAAGGACTTAGGTCCTCTGCACTATTTCCTCGGGATTGAGGTTATCCGTCGAGCATATGGCTTCTTTCTTCATCAGCGAAAGTATGCTCATGAGCTTCTGGACCGTGCCGGGATGCTTAACTGCAAACCGGCTGCCACCCCTGTCGATACGAAGGCCATGCTCTCTGTCACAGATGGTTCTCCTGCTCCAGATGCTCCGTTCTACAGGTCGATTGTTGGTGCTCTTCAGTACCTCACTCTTACTCGTCTGGAGTTCCAGTACGCTGTGCAGCAGGTGTGCCTCCATATGCATGCTCCTCACGATGCTCACTGGACCGCGGTCAAGCGCATTCTGTGCTATATCTGTGGCACCTTGGATCTTGGGTTGTCACTTCAGGCTTCGTCCTCTCTCGACTTGACGGCTTATTCTGACGCCGATTGGGCCGGCTGCCCCAACACGCGCCGCTCGACCTCCGGTTATTGCGTCTACCTTGGACCATCACTCATCTCATGGTCATCCAAGCGGCAGCCCATTGTCTCCCGCTCCAGTGCTGAAGCGGAGTACCACGCCATTTCCAACGGCGTCGCCGAGTGTTCCTGGCTTCGTCAGCTTCTGCATGAGCTCTTGTCTCCGGTTGACAAGGCCACGATTGTTTACTGTGACAACGTTTCTGCGGTCTACCTCTCCGCCGACCCGGTTCATCATCGACGCACCAAGCACATTGAGATTGATATCCACTTTGTTCGGGAGCAGGTAGCTCTTGGTCATGTACGCGTGCTACATGTCCCTACGTCCCAAAAATTTGCTGACATCATGACCAAGGACTTGTCTACCGCGTCCTTCGAGGAGTCCCGATCCAGTCTTTGCGTCGACCATGGTGCCGCTTCGACTGCGGGGGTGTTAAGATGTAGATATTGCATGTGTATTTCTTGTACAACAAGCCCTCCTCCTTTCATGTATAGTTGAGGACGTGGCTACCCTTTGTACATATATATATATATATATATATACACACACGTGCATATTGCAGCCGATCAATATATCATGAGTTGCGTAATCTTCTACACATAGCACCAGTTTCTGTCAAATCTCATCCCAGTCCTGAAGTAGATTATGCAACCTCATGAGACCTACCGGTACGTAGCATCCTCTCAACTATTGAAAGTGTGAAGAGACAACAGCTGACTGAAGTATGGACAGCGTGGCGCAGCGCGAGCGTTGCTAGTTGTCCTAACAGCAGACTGTTTTGTCAAAGCCCGCATTTTACTCATGGCTAATTTATATTTATCATCTTAATTATTCATGCCAACACAATTTATAGAGGCTGCGTGTGAACTCTTATGGTTGTACCGCCTCGATGCGGCATTAGTAGTCAATCAAATTCTCTTTATTGAAAAATACCGACTCGATTTATACAAACTCGATGGGACATTGCAAATTGCATGAGTTAATCGTGACAAGTGCAGTGTCATTTGCCAAATCACTCTAGTGTAGCATAGCTTGCTCTGGCTTGTTTGCTCCAACATATATATGATGTCCTGGCTGCAACGCCTGATTCGGTCGGACGGGGCTCTTCGGCACCCCTTGTGTGAGGGGGAGCCGCCGGTGGTGCTCCAGTATGCCGATGACACCCTGATCATCATGCGCGCTGAGGCGGGGGGCGCGGCGAGGCTGCGCGTCATCCTCGACCAATTCGCCACCGCTACGGGGCTCGTCATCAACTTCTCAAAAAGCACCCTTGTCCCCATGCATGTGGACGCAGCGGTGCTTGCGGCGGTGGTTGCCACGTTCGGATGCAGCGTTGGCGCCTTCCCGCAGACCTATTTGGGCCTACCGCTGTCCAGCGACAAGCTCAAGGTCGACGACTTTGCACCGATGCTGGCCAAGGTGGACCGCTATCTTGCGGGATGGCGTGCTAGGCTTCTGTCCCCCGCGGGGCGCCTGGTCCTCGTCAACGCAGTCCTGGACTCCCTCCCCACCTATGCCATGGCGGCCATGCGGCTCCCGCCGGCTGTCCTGGCGAGGCTGGATGGGCTGCGGCATGCGTTCCTTTGGAACGTGGCAGGGCGGGCCTTCGGTGCTCAGTGCCTCGTCGCCTGGGACCGGGTTTGCCGAGCTAAGGCCGAAGGGGACCTGGGTGTTCGCGATCTGGGGGCTCAGAACGACTGCCTTCTCCTAAAGCTTCTCCATCGTCTTCACTCCAGAGTTCCGTCCAGATGGGCCTGCTGGGTTTGGGGCCTGCTGGACGGACGATCTCTCCTGAGCCCTGGTCGTCCCCCTCTCTTGGGGGAGCACTGGGGGGCCCTCCTTGGGCTGCTCCCCGTCTACCGGGCACTCACGCGTGTTGAGGTGGGGGACGGGCGGGCGACCTCGTTCTGGCACGACGATTGGCTCGCCTGTGGGGTGCTCCGGATGGCCTTCCCCGCCCTCTTCTCCCATGCTGACAGCTTGGAGGTCTCCGTGTGGATGGTGCGCCGGCGGGGTGTGAGGTCCCTGCTTGTGTCGCGGCTAACCCCGCTGGCCGCTGTGGAGTGCGTTGCTGTTCAGCAAATGGTGGACGCTTGCCTACCTAGGGAAGGTTCGGACTCCCGTCTCGCCAAGCTGTGTGCGAGCCCCGGCGGGGGCTTCTCTGCTAAGGGTGCGTATGCCCTTGTGACCTTTGGCGGGGTGGCGGCGGCTCCGGCGTCCTTTCTCTAGACGTCCCGCGCCCCGTCGCGCGTCAAATTTTTCGGCTGGCTCCTCTCCATGTCGCGCATCCATACGAGGGATGGATGTGCTCCTTCGCAAAACCATCATCACGGCGGAGGAGGCGGGGTGCCCCTGCTGTGAAGCGGCGCTGGAAACTGCCGATCACTTGATCTTCGTGTGCCCGTTTGCGGTTCAGTTCTGGCGGTGCGTTGGGCTCTCGCCCGCTGGAGCTCCGGTGGAGACCCTGCACCTTTTCGACGCTTCGCCCGCTGTTGGCGTTGCCTCTCCTGCCTCCTTCGTCCTCCTCTGCTGTTGGAGGCTCTAGAAGCGACGGAACGCTGTCGTCTTCAGGGGAGACCCATGGCCCCTGGCTGCTACATTGAAGGCATGTCGGGACGATGCGGTGTTGTGGCGTGCTAGACTGCGGGAGGGGGATCGCTCCCATATCAACGTCTGGCTAGCTGTCCTTAGGACCGATCGTCTAGCATAATGGCTAGCTGCCTTGCTAGGGTCTCCTTTCCTTATCCTTCTTTAAAATTCTCTCTCTCTGTAATCTGACTCTCAGGG